TTTTGGGAAAGGAGCATGGGATCGGAGATGGAAAAGATGTTGGTTTGGCTGCTTTTTTTGGCTGCTCTTCAGGCGATGTCTTTGCTCTGTGTTGCGAGACACAAAAAGGGGGTAAGAACAAACACAAAAGGAAAAAGCGAAACAAAACAATGGGAGCGTTTTCTTTTTCCAGCCAGAACCAGAATTCAAAATCCGCACCCGCATTTCCCCGGCGGCCCCCAGCAGCCGAGGACCATCCCTCACGCCACGAAGAGGCGGGACGCTGCTGGGGGATGCTCAGGCTGGACACCGATGCGTTCGCAGCCGTGAAAGAACAGCACAGTTTGGTGCAAAGGGTTGGTTTGCCCCTTCGTGTCACCTCAGAGCGCGTTTCATCCGGCTCCCTTAGCGGCATCTCCGTGCTGCAGGTACCACATTTTTGTTTTTTCCAAGTTTTTTCAAGTTTTACGCCGTCACGTCCAACCACGAGGAGCTGTCCTCAGCCCCAAGCCGGCAAATCCCTTTGAATTCAGACTCCAAGTTTGCGTGCCAAGAAGTTGGTCTGTCCAACCCCATCCGCTCATCTAATAAAAGACACCACCATCCTCGTAAACCTGCCTTGCCCCTTCCCTCCCCATCACTTTCAAACCACAATATTTTAACTCTTTCACAGCTCGACATCTCCCCACGCTTCCCAAGCACCTCCCGGCCGAGCCGGCAGCTCCGGCCCCAGTGGGATTCATCCCAACGAGGTCAGATTTCTGCTTGGGTTGAGATTTTGAGTTTTGATGTTATTTTTGTGGGTCGAGGGGAGGGTTTGGAGATATTTGCTTCCTGTCTGCTCAGCCGCTCGGCCTTCCTCCGCGCTTCACCCTTTGCCAAGCATCTCCCTACGGATGGGAAAAGCCCCTTCGGCAAAGCACGTCCAGCCCCGGGAGGCTGCAAACCATTTCTGGGATGCGCTTGAAGAGTTCTTCAGTTGGGTCCCCTCTTAGTCGAAAAAAAATAATAATCTGCCTTTAGAAATCCTCGGCTTAAAATCGATACGAGCCCCCGGCTTAAAATCGATAGGAACCCTCGGCTTAAAATCGATAGCACAAGGGTGAGAAAAATATTGACTGCCGCTGCTCTCCCCGGCTGGTTGCCCCGTCGATCACAGAATCATAGAATAGACGCCCGCACCCATCCCACCACGGCCGGTGGTTTTCGATCCCCGCCTGCAGCCCGTGCTCCCTGCTTCGGTCTCGGCTCAGCACAGCTGTTTGCCATTAAAACCTCTCACCCCCCTGAAAAACTCGCTTCCGTTTTCTCATCTGCGAGAGGAAACTCCCCAGCCCACATCCCGCGGGGGCAGGCACCCACCGAGGGAGGCGGGGAGGGGGGGGAGACGGATGCAGCCCCCCCCCGGGTCCGTGCTCCGGGGGGAGCATCGTCCTCCGGGCGTTTGGCTGGAGAAAAGTGAAATGTAGGGCTGGGAAAAGATTTTGAAGATGGGGAGAAGGTGCCTCAAGGGATGGTGGATAAAGACAAGGCGAGAGCACGGTCTGCACCTCCTCCCAAGGTCGTCCCACGTTCGACCACCCTCCTGGCTGGGAAGGGTTCTCCTTCCAGGCGAATCTTCCCAGTTATGAACTTCTTCTCGTCACACCTCAAAAATGCAGCTCCTCTCTTCCTTTCTAAGACTTCTCTTGCTCTTTCTCAGTTTGCTAGCATCCACCTCGGGCACCACATCCAAGAGCCCCCAAAACACACCACCACGCTCAAGAGACCAGCTGAGAGAGGAAACCGTCTTGGGTGAACGTGTGGGTTTTTTCCCCACGAAAACCCATTTTTATCGCTGCGCAAGCAACAAAGTCACAGCGATCTCGGCACCCGCGCGGCGGCAAACCCGCAGCGGTGAGCAGCCCCCACCACGCGCCGCTCAGGAACTGATTTTACACCAGCTTGGTCACACCTAATTTACCTCCCGCTCCTTCTATTCCCCTTTCGCCTCGTGCCCCAGTTCACACCAGTATCACGTCGTCTCCTCGGAGAAGGCCGCCTGCACCGGTATCGGCTTTTCCCCACAAAGCAGAGGAGCCAGATTTTCTTTTCCTACCCATTTCCCTTCTAAGAAACGTTTTCCTATTTTGTTTTTATTTTTAGAGAAGAAAATAAGCAGCTTGATAGCGATATGTACCAAGGCACCACACCCTGCGGATGCAGTAACAGGAGCTGACCGTAAACACCAAATGGGGCTCCTAAAGCATCCCAACCCGGGGTGTTTCTATCCACCACAAAATAAAATAAGCCCGCGACCGTTCGCGTTTCTTCTTACTGCTGGAGAAACTGAGGCATGGGAAGGTGAAACGAAGCCAAGGAAAAAAATCCCCCAAGATTTCAAGGGAAGTGGGGAACTAAATCTGGCTCCCAGTTGTCGTTTCTGCCTTTGCTCTGAATCGCCGCCTTCTCTACGAGAAGGATTTGCGATTAATAACTCCTGCTATACTCTGTTATAACATAATCAAAACCACCCTCCCTCTATTTGCAAGCTCATCCAGCGGCGCTAACCCTCCCTGGGGAATAACTTCCCAAGATTTGCAACTTGGCCATCGGAAAAGTCTTTGCAAAGGGAAAAATCTTCCATCACTAGAGCGGTGTCACGGGCATCCCACATCTCCCGGCCCATGTAGGACAACCTCTAGCCCAGCCTGCCATCGCACCCCTTGGCAAATTGCAGAAAAACTTGTCTTTTCTCCGAGCGCGGGGGCTGCTCGGTCCAGCCCTCGCAAGAGTCATTTCCTGCCTCTGCTGGGACGGCTCGAGAAATTCTCGAGCAGCAGCACCGAGCCGCACCGGCGGACGACACCGAAACGTAGGATGACGAACTTCTTAATTGCAGCACTCTTGGTTCTTCATTTTTTACTGGGTAAATATGTTTCTCCGGTTTTCCGGCTTGCCGTTTAATTTAATCGCGCCGCTAAGTGCTGGGCTCAAATTCTTTCTGTGCTTCTGGGATGCTGCGTGGCACTCGGGGTGGGGTCTTGGAGGCTGAAAGGTCTTGGGGTGTTTGCTTGGAGATGGGGGGTCAGTAGCAAAAAAAACCCAAAACCCAGGGGAAAACCTGGTGCAATTACTAGAAGTTACGGTGAAGCGTGTGCTTGGAGAATATAGTCTGTGCTTGCAGAGTATAGCGTGTGCTTGCAGAACACAGCGTGTGCTTGGAGAATAGAGCCTGATAATTAACGTTTTCCATACTGCATTCAAAATAATTTGCAATATACAGCTGGGAGCTATTAAGAGAGACAGATACAGGCAAGGGAAACAAAAAAAACCCAAACCAGGATTTCCTGAAGTATTAGGTGGGCACTTAGGAGATGCGGGGAGACCGAAGTCAGGGGCAACCGAGGGAGGAAAACCACACAGCACTGGCAGCGCCCGGGAGGGCCGAGCGGCAGCTTGAGGCAGGAGCCTGCAGCTAATTAGGGATGAACACATGTGCAGTGAAGTAATGTTTCTGGGAATGTGAGATAGCAGGCAGCACCGGCCGAGGGGGGGGATAACTGGAAACTGGCAGCTGCCCGCAGTTCCGCCGTGCCTGCCGGCCGCAAAGAGCCTTCCTCCTTCTCTACCGCGCCAGAAGAACGAAGCCAAACGCGAAGCATCACGCGAGGGGTTAAAGGCAGCCGAGGAGGGGGGATTTCCAGATGGAAGCTCTTTGCGGCAATACAACTCCTCTATTATTCTTAGCATGGCTCCAGTGTAAATACAACAGCCAACTTGGAGTAACTTTCTCAGAAAGCTTTGTGCATGGGATAATGTGCCCCGAGAGCTGGAGTTTACAGCACTGGAGTCAAAAAGGACAGAGTATTTTCGAAGGGCGAGTGTGGGAAGGGGCGTGGGGTGGATGGGTGTACGCTACGCCACGCAGCTCCCGATGTCGGTCCGAGTTTCCCCAAAAGCTCAGCATGGGGCTAGGACGGTTTTACACAGCAAGGCCGAGCGACGGATGAGGCTGCGGCGTATCACGACCTGCAGACCTGACCCCTATCCCAGGGCTTTGATGCCTGCGCAGAAATCTTTAGGCTGGGGCACTGTTTTCAGATAATTTCCCGATGAGGGGAGTTTTTTGGACCTGGGCTTCTCGCTCAGCTCGCTGCCGGCACTGAGAAACTCGGGGCTACGTTAGGAAATGGTGGCAAGTTTTAGAGAGGGGTACCCAGAGCTATGGCTGGCCCCGGGCATGACTAATGGCATCATTAAAGTTATTAATAGTATAACTTATAATATTAATATTATAATTATCTTTATGAGTATATATGAGTATTAAAATATACTATAGTATCTTATTGTATGAGTCTCTCATTACATTATTGTATGAGTATGCAAGTATATGAGTACACAAGTATTATAATGTTAATATTCCCAATTAGTCTGCTTTGTAAGACCCCGAAAAAAAGAAAACACGTTTAACCTTGTATTTGGAAAAGGGAAATGAGCGACTTGACACATCTTTGACAATGCCATACGATTCAGAAATCTATTTATAGTGACCCAACCCTAAGGAAGCGCAAGGCTCCTTTCTGAGCCTTCAACAATTTCACAGCAAAAGGCACACGAGGAATAAAGCAGCCGGGCCGGTGGCTGAGGAGCAGCTCCAAACGCACACAGCAGAGCTTCGAGATCCACCCCGAAATAAATTTGGGGTACGGGGTGCAGGAACGTGCAATCCCATTACTGCATCTCCCTCTCCCGGCACCTATCTGCACCCAAAATAAAGGGAAAAAACCCACCTGGGACGAGCTCTGGTCCGGTCTGCAACACGATGCCTTTTGTCGTGAAGTCTCTGATTTAATTACGGGCCAGATTGCGAATCCATTACTCCCACCAGGGAAAAGGTTTTGCACAAAGCGCCAATAAATCAACGAAACTATTCATGTGAAACCGTATCCAGCCAGCTCGACGTGAGTCTCTGCTTACGGTGCCCGACGATGAACCGTTCATTTTCTGTTTGTTTTCAGGGAATGCTGAGATAGCAGGAGAAGAGGAGATAACAGATTTTTTACACGACTACGCATCTCTTTTCAGTGAGAAATTCTTGCTTTTTCTGGATCGTTTTATGCAAGTTGCGTGAACAATTTGGAATAACCGGGTTTGGAAAGGATGCTGGGAGGTCGCCATCCAGCCTCCGCCAGGCAGGGAGAGCAGGCTTTGCCCATAAAAACCAATGCAAAGGCACTGAGAAGCCACCGAATCGAGTCCCCTGCAGTTACAAATAACCCCAAGGGACGCTGAGCCCATCCCACCTCCCTGTGCTGCCACCAGCACAGACCTCAGCGCCCTCAAGCTTTAATTTAAGCTAAAAGCTCAAGGCTGCTCAAGGAAACGAAGGCGCTGCCGCGGCCCGAGGTCCTTCTCCTTTGCAGAAATACCCGTAGGAAAATGGATCTGAGGTCTGGGGAGACGCTGCTTAGATGAATTAAGAGGGTTTGCTGAATCGTGGCTGCGTGGGAATTCGAGCGGCTGGTTACAGCCACTGCGGGTGCTCAGGCAGGACACGTGAGCAAAGCAGCAGCAGTTTATTTATCTGAGTTATTCGGATTAATTTGAATTACATTGACTATTCAGAGGGGAAAAGACGTGCAATAATCATGTCACGATATAAGGGTGGGACTCATCTCGCTTAACGCTGGATGATGTGCACAGAACACGGGTGCCCCCGACCTCCTTTAGTATCAGTGGAGAGAAACTGGTACCCAGTATCTCCCCCGACTGTAAAAGGAGCCCCTGGAGACCCTCTCAGATGAAAACGTTTGTGTCTGAAGCACATCAGGAACCTCCGATACAAACGTGAATAACCGGTAGGAAATACATGCCCTAACACCGAATGGCTCTGACCACTATAAATTAAGCGATGCTTTGGTGTAAAACATAAAACAAGATTAAAAGCAGAGTTAAAAGACATTTTTCTGGAGCTGTTCTGCCCCCAGTGGTTCTCGTTCCCATCTGAAATCACGTCTCGCTGAGCTAAAAAGGTTACTGAGATGGGCTAAGAGCAGAGAGAACCCCGGTAGCTGCTCCTGGGCAGAGAGACTCGCTTTGATTTCCACAGCAGTAAGAGATTCCTGCACCCCCCCCAGCACGCTGCCGTCGCTGCTCACAAGCAAACTCAGCCCCCAACCCAGGCAGCCTCTAAAATTAAGTTTCCTATGGAATCGATGCTCGGTGTTATTCTTATGATGGCTTGAGTGGGTAAGACGCCTTCCTGGTTATACTAAATATTAATACGGACTCATCAGGACAGTGTTTTCGTTCCAGGTGATTACTTATATGCAACGGTAGAATATTACTCTGAGAACACCACGTTAATCCCCACCATTTATTCATATGAGGTGAGTTGGACTTTCTCTTCGTATTTCTGAAAGAAAAAAAAAAAAAAGGGGGGGGCCTTCCTTGCCAAAACCACTGTTGCCAGAAGAAATAAATGGATTTAAAATGTTGATTTTAACTCACTGAACAACTCCAGTTTGGGCAAAGAGCATCCACACAATAGCTGTGATTAGTTTGCCACGGACTTCTTTTGCCAGTTCGCGCAGAAGGTGGTCAGAGAAGGGGAAATTCCCGGTTTTCCTAATTAAGTGACATCAAACCTGTCCCAACGGGGCATCCCTCTGGCTCCCTTACAAGTTAATCCTGTGCTGTGACATCATAGGTTATTCCTTTTCCCCATACCTCCATCCAAGCACCACCAGGGCTTTGGGGAAGGGACTTGCAGGAGAGAACGCCGCCCCCCCCCGTTTCCCTTTGCTCAGCAACAGATAAGGATGTTCCAGGGCAACGATGCGATTTCTCCCCCACGGAGCAATCACCGGGGGTAGTTAGGAAGGCAGAGGAGCTAGTCAGGGCACGAACTCTGCCACCGGCTTTTAGCACATTAAAACAAGCGGTGTTCGACTGATTTCTTTTCGTTGACTTGCCAGGAGTCGGTGGGATCGCCCCTCCGGTGCCACCTCCCCCTCGTCGTCCTCCTCAGCCTCCTGGGTTTCCTGCTATGACTCCCCTGCACCGTGCTCCTCCTCAGAAGGTACTAAAGCCCCGTAGGATTTAAGCACTCCCTAAAAACATGTCTTTAAGCCAGCAAAACCCAATTCTTTCTAAAGCGGCAGCAAGCAGCACTTTGCAGCAACCTTTCAAAATAATAAAAAAATAATAATTAAACCTTTTGGGCATCCAGCTGCAACGCTAGGGACAACCAAAGCAGCTTTAACTGCTACTAATGACCCAAAGAGGCATTTTAGGGTATTTTTCCAAAGCACCCAAGTGACCTCTTTGCATACAGCCTTCAGCGGGAGCTTCAATGGCGGGAACACCTTTATGGTACCCCTGGCCCAAACTGGGTCTCAGCCCCAGGCACCGCCGCTGCTCGACCACCCAAATCCCCTTTTTTCCAGAAGCTGAAGCTCACCGACATCCCAGGTGCACACGAAACCCCCGTCCCGCCACAAGCATGGCTTGAAACACAATAGGAGGACGTGGCAACCGCTTCCTCACCTTTTCCCCTCGTTTCAGACATGACGGCTTTGATGAAGAAAAGAACATCGTCACCGCGTTGGAAACTACATCCTCTAAACGAAGCGGTCATCTCCATTTTTAGTACAGTTGTGACTTTATGTACAAAGTTTTCAATAGATGGATGATGCCGTCCTGAGCCATAAAAGTTGTGCAAACACTGAAGAGCTTTGTAATGACTAGGTTCTTTCCTATTTCCTATTATTCTGTTGTAAATATGAACTGCTGCCAATAAAATGACTAACAATCGGTGTTCGGTTTCGAGCGTGCAGCCACCAACACCCTCTGGGAAAGCACGAGAAACACCAGCCCCATCCCACCCCCAAGCTGGGCTAACCTGCTCCTCCCGCCCCAATTCCCACCCCATTTCTCCAAGAAAACCTCGGCACCTTGGGGACCAGATGCAGATTTTGCCATGTCCCATCTTCCCGAGCCACCACGTTAAATGGGGCTGTTTGGGAACAAACCCTCCATGCCAGCAACCATCCGCCACGAGGTTTGCGGCGGCCAGCGGCGCGGTTTCATTTGCAGTCGCTCGGTAAATAATCGGTCAACACCAGCAGAACGGGAATGCAAGAAACTTGTACAGCGCTTGTCCCATCAAAAGGATCTTTTCAAGCATTGGAACCCATAACCTACAAGCTAACAGCTAGCTAGAAAAAGCAGGCAGAAGTTTTCCACTTAGGTTTTTCCAGAATTGTTCTTAATACTATTTGTTTTCTAGGAACACCCGCGGTATCTGCGGTGCAATGAGAAGCTGGACCGAAAAAAAAGTCCCTCCAGCCAATACAGCCTACACCAGCTCCCCACGCAGAACAAACTGTGCCAGAAATGTTTTTTTTTTTTGGTCAGGAAATCTGAGTTTAAAGCTCCTTTTGGCCCAGCTGGGGGATTTTTTTCCCACACTCTGTGTGCCTACACTGCTTTTCTTTGGAAGAGTTATGGGGAAGGAGGGGGAGCAAACCTGATCCAGGTGCACCCGCGTGGTCTTGGAGCTCCTGCACGGTCTTGGAGCACCCGCAAGTCAACAGAGGTTGAGTCAACCCAAAAGAAAGAGCTCATGGTGGTCACGTCCGCGCGGCCCCCAGGTTTGCAGAGCTTCAAGCTCCCTCGAGCTCGCCCTCAAAACGCCAGGCAGAAATTCCCCAGTCTGCCGGAGGAGGTACAAGCCAAACTCACCCACCTCCCCTGCACCCATAGAGCAGCGGTGCCATGTCCAGCCAGTCCTGCCATCCCTCACCTCAGTTTGCGGGATTATCTAGGCTGCCAACCTTCAAAAGCAGAAGTTTTATTTTCTGGGGACGCCAAGAGGCTCCGAAACAGGGCCAGGAGCTGCCGAAGGGAGCGAGACCCGAATGCGCTGCCAGCCAGTGCCACCTCCTGGCTCCTCGCTGCTATAAAAGTTGATAAAAAATGAGCTTTACCTAGGAGAGCTCTGGAAAATAATCTCTGAATGCGCAGCGCTGAGATTTTTAACCCTGCAATGAAGAAAAAAAATTAAGGGAAAATGAAATATGTGCATGAAACTTATAACATGCTAAATTTATTAATAAGAAAATATTACTAAATAGTTAGTGGCATCGATACTCAACGGCGGCGTTCCCGACACCGAGGGACAGAAAACCACAAGCCCTTTCCGAAAGCGTGAGACAAACCCAACCACACAAAGTCAAATATGCGAAGACGTATACAATAAACCCAGTTTATTGTACAAACCCAGCTTAGTTTTATAGCTCACTGCAAGACCAGAAGAAGGGGCCAAAACCAGCATTCGAGTTATAGCAGTGTTTCGGATGAGGTGTGTCCTGACCTAACTACAACTAACGACGTATAGCTGGAAACAACCTCACCACTTTCCCAAAGCAGGTATTATTCGCCAAAATCTCTAGTTTCTAAACGCTCTTTTTTCTTGCAACGCTAAACGCACCTTCCCTCAAGTGGTAGGAAAAGCATCGGTCCCTGCTGCTGGGCTCTGCTCCAGCCGGACCATCCTCGGCCACCCCCAACGCCCCAGGTCCAACCTGGGGAGCTCCAACCGGGGGAAAATCCCAGGTTTTCTTGTTATGGGACTTGCAGTCTCGCACCTGATACTAAGAGTGAGCAAACGCACTTGTATCAGTGAAAATATTAAGAGTTTAAGAGGTTATTTTAATTCTTTTTCTTTGGAAAGGCATGCCTGCGTTTCTAATAGGAAAACCAAGATCTCACCCGGGGTCCTTTCCGACGGTAAAGCCGGGAGCTTTTCCTCAGCCCGCATCCGAAGCCGGGGGTGAAGCCATCCTCCCGCATCACGTCCGGATGCTTTCACAGGTTGCTTTCCCGGATTTACCCCTTTGTTCACTGCTCGTGCAAGGCCTGCCTGACCCTCGGCTCTGCAAACGGCCGCCCAGCTCTCGCAGCAAACCTCCACGGGGTAAGCTGCTTTAACACAAAGAGGATTTCCCTCCGGTTTTGAAAACCTTTCCTAGTTATCTTCAGGCAAGAAGCAAGCAGGTCTCTCAAGGCCTCTGGTGTTTTCTAGCAGCATCTTATCAAACTCTTTGAGAAACAAATTGTGCTGCACCTGCTCTTTAGCACGGCTCCCAGGATCCGGGTGCAACGTCCCGGGGGAGCTGCAGACCACGGGGGCTTTGCGAGCGCCCAGGCAAGTCCTGCGAGTTGATGCAACTCCGCTCACCCTCTGCCATCCCGCCGTGGAGGGTAACTGTGGTTTTTTTGGATGCATTTAACGTGGTCCAGCCTCAGAAGGGGCATCCAG